ACAGCAGAGTCACACGTGCAGCGAGTTGCGCGGCCTCTGCAGCTGTCAACTGCAAGGGCAGTGTCACACGTGCCACGAGTTCCGGGGTCTCAGCAGCCTCCGGCCACGATGCCTGTGCCACACGTGTAGCGAGTTGGGCGGTCTCAGCAGCCTGCACCTGTGATGGGGTTGTCACACGTGCGGCGAGCGGGGCGGTCTCAGCGGGGGGGGGCAGGGCCCGGCCCCCCCCCTCGTTAGCGCCCCCCCCTCGTTAGCGACCCCCTCCTTGTTAGGGGCCCGCAGGTGCCTCAGAGGCAGCAGCGCTCCCAGCTGAGGCTTCGCGGCGTTGGGACACGAATGGCCACGGCGACGGGAGGGGAAGGGTGTTGTTGCTGCAGCAACCCCATCCCTAGCAACACCGTACCAAGCGATAGCAATGCTCGAGCCCTTTAAGTGTACGTGTGTACACAGCCAAACACATGCACGTACCTGTATGTCTCTCTATGAGTGTGCACCCCATACGACTGTGCGCGTGCCTGTATACCTCCGTGTACCACTGTACACACCTATACACCCATGCAAACGCTTGTACACCTCCATGTACCAGTGTACATAGCTATATACCCATACGAACGCTTGTATACCTCCACATTACCAGTGCATACAGCTATATGACCCTGCGCACGCCTGTACGTCTCCCCGTACCACTGTACACCCCTATACACCCATGCGCATGCCTGTATCTCTCATGTACCAGCGTACACCCCTACACCCCTGTGTGCACGCTTGTATACCTCCATGTGCTGGTGTACACCCCTATACACCTGTGCGCACAGCTCTATACCTCCATGTGCCAGTGTACACCCCTATACACCTGTGTGCATGCCTGTACCCCTCCACGTGCCAGTGTACACAGCCCTGCGACCGTGCGCCCACCTGTATATCTCCACGTACTGGCTGGTGTATACCCCTATACGCCTGTGTGCATGCCTGTAGACCTCCCTGTACCAGTATAGACAGCTATATGGTTGCATGCACACCTGTCTACCTCCGTGTGCCGGTGTACAGCCCTATACAGCCGCGTACGCACCTGTATACCTCCACGTGCAGGTGTACTCACCAATACACCCGCACCTGCATCGCTCCACGTACCGCTGGACACATCCATCGGCCCAGGCGCGCCTGTATTCCTCCGCGTGCCGCTGTACACACCTGTCTACACGTGCGCACACCCTTTTACCCCCCCGCTCCTCCGTGACCCTGCACACCCCTATAGACCCCCGTACAGCCCCGCCACCCCGCACCTCCCTATAGCCCCCACACCCCC